TAAATAAAAATGTAATGTTCGTTTGTGGGTTTAACATAACTCAAAAACCACTGGACGAATTAACACCAAATTTGGAAACAATACACCTCTCAGGCCAACGAGTGACCATCATTCATAAAAACACTGAAAAACACAGCAGAAGGGACTTAAAAAGCCAAATAACAAAAATTACATTACAACGCATGTGCAAAACCACACACATACATACATACACACACACAAACACAAACACACATATATACACACAAAACATATATACATAGACTGGGCCACAGCAACACGTGGCAGGGGACGGCTAGTAAATAATAAATAATGTATAAATGCACATTCACATGGAACAATAAAAAAAGAAAAAACGACAACTCTGAAATGGTAGAAGCACAAAGTTGTGGCAAAGGAATCATGAAGCACAAAGTGAAGAGGCAGAAGCATGATTTTCTTCATAACGTACTTATTCCAGCCTCCCTCCTTCCTCTTGCTCTCTCTCTGTCCCTGTCTCTTCATGAAGCCAAACATACCAGGAATAAAAACCACACAAAATGAACTAAACCAAAGTTCCTCAAAGTGGACAAGAGCAAAGCAGATAGCAATCTTCCAAAGCAGACAAGCCCTGAAGCCCTGCTGCTGCTAGCACTCCCTCTCATGCTAACACTCCCTCTCACACTAGCTCTTAACTCAAAATGCTGCTCTTATGTCAAAGCAAAACTGGTTGAGTGACAGCTCTTAGCTCAAAACCCTCTTAAGTTGGGATGCCTTTAAGTAGAGGTTCCATTGTGTTTAATGCCTTGTTCCTCAATGACCACAAAAAGTACAGAAAGCTGAAGTAATAGGATATTATGCCTTTATATCACCAGCAGAATTCCAGTTTATATCTTCATTATGTTTCCAGTGCTAAAAGCCTTTCAGCTAGATGAGTAGAAGGGAGGCCTGGAAATGTGTAAAAGATTTTGTAAAAAGGATTTTCTTTGACACATACCTTGTTAACTGAGGTATGCTTGTACTTATCCTACATCAGTTGTAGCACAGATGGAGAAAGAATTAAAGTAAGATTTTTGTCTTTAGGAGAACATTTGAGAGGCTTATCAGTTTTCCTATATATCTAACCACTACAAATGTCATTTTAGTCTTAAAACCCTGCCATTCCAGTCACTTATATGTAGAAAGTAGCTCTGTAGAATTCTGTGGACCTTATTTTAAATGAAATGGTCCAGATTCCAAATGATAGTAAAATTTTGAGGAACAAAAAAAGTTCATCTTAATGTAAGTGCTGAAGTAAAGAATATTTATTTTTTATTTTAATGTTTGATTTAATTTCTAGCTTTTACATTTCAATTATGCTTAGCGATAACAGTTTATAGATGACTTAAGAAGGTGTATTTATTGTCAATGTTAATGTAAATTTCCTAGTTGGCAGCTGAGAGTTTAAACACAGAACTGTCAACGAGATGCTTAAAATGCAATCTAAGACAGTTATACTATCTTTAGTATATCACTCACTGTGATACTCTAAAAGGTTGGAATGAGAAAGTGAAAGCGTTAAGTGGGCATTTATATGATTGCCACGGCTCTTGCAGAATACTAAAATGGGTTCAATAAAAATACCTAGAGAAAAGTAAAGCACAGCTGCTGTTAGTAACGTGCATATATGACTCATTAAAGCTAGTGTGTCATTTTTTTGTTGAACACAATATGGAAAGATATGAAAAAGATTGAAAAGCATTTAAGTCTAAAGTATAGAACTAATGTTGCATGTAAATTTGGAATCCAGTGAAAAGTGAATCCATCCTTGTGGAATTTAGACACAGGACCGATGTATCAGGGCATCTGAAACCCTTTAGCTATGAAGGGGAAAAAAGCAAGAATGAAAGTACAAAGCTACTCAGGCCCTGAGAAGGGTTTTGGGAGTCTGGAACTACAAGAGTTGAGGTTTTAAAACCTCAGAATATTTATCTGGCTCAGATCAAAATCTGATTCATGGGGGGCAGGTGGGGGAGGATTCTCAGGTATTAGTCTCTACTGTTTATTTTTATTTATTTACATTATTTCTATCCCGCCCATATCAGCCCGAAGGCGACTCAGGGCGGCATACAAAGTCAGAACAATTCAATGCCATATAAAATGCATACATTGATAAAAAGCAAAAAAGAAACATTACAGTACATTTAGAACATAAAAAACAATCTATATAAATATAAATGTAATGTTCGTTTGTGATACCATCAGAACTCAGAAACCACTGGGGCAATTGACACCAAATTTGGACACTGTGTCCCTAACAACCCAATGTATGTTCTCCACTCAAAAAACCAACGAAAACCAAAAGCAGAAAGGACTTCTAAACTGCATGTCCACAAAGGAGAAACTGCATGTCTACCGAGACCCATGGCCATGCCCCCCTCCTCCTCACGGGGAAACAACCGGCCATTAAAGCCAGGTGCACGTGCACGGCCACACACACACACACAAGCGAGTGGAGTGGAGGTGGAGGCGCGCTGCATGCAGCCCCTTCTCTTTCCCTCCTATGTCAGGAGAGCAGTCCCCTCCTCCTCCTTTCCCTGTTGGGAAAGCAGCAGCAACGGCAGCAGCAACGGAGCATCCACGCAAGGAAGAAGGGGAGGGGGGGAGGTGGAGGAGGCGAGGAAGGTCCACGGTGCTTGAATGAAGGACCTTCCTTCTTTCCCTCCCTTCCCTTCTTTCCTCCCTTTCCTTCCTTCCTTTCTTTCCCTTTCTTCCTTCCTTCTCCTTTCTTTCCTCCTTTCCCTCCTTCCCTTCCTTCCTGTCCCTCCTTCCTTCTTCCTTTCTTCTTTTCCTCCCTCCCTCCCTCCCTTTCCTCCTTCTTTCCCTCTTCTTTCCCTTTCTTCATTTCCTTCCCCTTCATTTCCTTCCCTCCCTCCTTTCTTCATCCCCCTCCTTTCTTTCCCTCCTTCCTCCCTCCTTCCTTCTTCCTTTCCTTCTTTCTAAGATATAAATATAATATTAAATGGAAGGCACAGTCAAGAAGTAACGAGAGAAGGAGGGAAAAAGGGAAGGAAGGAAGGAGAGAAGCAGGGAGGGAAAGAAGGAAAGAAAGAAAGATAGAGAAGCAAGGAAGGAGAAAAGGAAATAAAGTGAAAGGAAAAAGAGAGGGAAGGAAGGAGAGAAGGAACAAAAGATAGGGAAGGAAGGAAGGATGTAACCAAAGAGCAAAGAAAAGGAGGAAAGAAACAGGTAGAGATGGAAGAAAGATGAGAGATAGGGAAAGAAAAAGAGGAAAGGAAGGAAAGAGGGAAGGAAGGAGAGAAAGAAGGAGGGAAGGTTGGCCACAGCAACGCGTGGCAGGTACAGCTAGTAAATAATAAAAAAAAATTAAAAACTATGTCCTCTCATTCAAATCCTCATCCGTTCCATCGTCTTGGCTGTTCCTGGGTCATTTTCCGATTCAAGTTTGTCTATTTATCCTAACGTGCTTGTGAAGCAGGCGGGATCGAGAACAGGGCCTCCTCCGACGATCTGAAGTTCCTAGTGGGTTTGTAGTAAGAGATACGTTCGGATAGATAAGCTGGAGAGCCACACATTCCTTTCCACAACCTAAAGAGTGATTTCTCTTTCCCCTGTTTATCTGACAAAGAAAAAGTACCAGAGAAAGGAGAGATTTTGGTTCCATCTACATCAGCGTTTCTCAACCTGTGGGTGAGAGGGATGTCAGAGGGGTCACCAAAGACCATAAGAAAACAGTAGTTTCTGTTGGTCATGGGGTTTCTGTGTGGAAAGTTTGGCCCAATTCTATTATTGGCGAGATTCAGAATTTATAGGTGAACTATAAATCCCAACAACTACAACTGGTTCTGTGTGCCAAGTTTGGTTCAATTCCACGATTGGTAGAGTTCAGAATACTCTTTGATTATAAGTGAACTACAAATCCCAGCAACTACAACACCCAAATGTCAAGGTCTATTTTCCCCAAAATCCACCAGTGTTCACATTTGGGCATATTGAGTATTTGTGTCAAGCTTGGTCCAGAATCATAATGCAAATATCTGAGATGCAGGATGGATTTTCATTCACTGGACCGAATTTGGCACAAATACCTGATACGCCCAAATTTGAATACTATTGGGGTTGGGGTGGAATTGATTTTGCCATTTGGGAGTTGTAGTCGCTGTCAGGTTTGATCCAGAATCATCATTGTTTAAGTCTATAGTGTTCTCTGGATGTAGGTGAGCTACAACTCCAAAACTCAAGATCAATGCCCACAAAACTCTTCCAGTATTTTCTGTTTGTTTTGGGAGTTCTGTGTGCCAAGTTTGGTTCAATTCCACCATTGGTGAAGTTCAGAATGCTCTTTGATTATAGGTGAACTATAAATCGCAGCAACTACAACTCCCAAATGACAAAATCAGTCCCCTTAACCCCACCAGTATTCAAATTTGGTTGTATGAGGTATTTGTGTATTTGTGCCAAATTTGGTCTAGTGAATGAAAATACATCCCGTGTATCAGATATTTCCATTACGATTCATAACAGTAGCAAAAAATCTCCCTCACTCTAGTTCTTAATCATAGAAGTATAGAATTGGAAGAGATTGTGTGGGTCATCCAGTCCAACCCCCTGCCATCCATCAAAAACCACCATCAAAACACCCCAGCAGATGGCCATCCAGCCTTTGTTTAAAAGTTTCCACAGAAGGAGCTTCCACTGGACTATGAAGTTATCACAAAGTCAAACTCTATTATTCCTATTTCCAGATAGGCTAATGTTAAGCAGTGCCTTTAAGAAATCACTAGTCCATCATCTTAAAACAATCTATCTAGCATAAAATCAGTGAAAGTAAAAACAGAACAGCAGAAAAGGAAAGCATTTCAAATTGGGCATTCAAAGAAGTTCAAGCTGTCTTGCTATAATTTCCTTCTTTTCTTGGAAATCTTCAGCTACATATTTTTCCTAACCCCAACAGTGTTTGTTTTCAGGTTTCATCAGGAGTGTGATAATCAGCTTATTATGTTTCTTTCTATCTTTTATAGGCAGTCTACCATATGAATACAAGGTTGTGATAGCAGGCAATCATGAGCTGACATTTGATCAAGAGTTCATGGCGGATTTAATCAAGCAGGACTTTTACTATTTCCCATCTGTATCTAAACTGAAGCCAGAAAGCTATGAAAATGTACAGTCTCTCTTAACCAACTGCATCTATCTGCAAGATTCAGAAGTGACAGTAAGGGGCTTCAGGATATATGGCTCCCCGTGGTAAGCATTTAAAAATTATTAGCATTGATTCATACAGAGTATTTTTGTCCATCATGATTATGCAGGACAAATGTGATACTTTCTTCCACATATTTTATGATGGGCATTCAGTGTTTTATTTATCGGATATATCCTACCTTGTTCATGCCCAGCATTTATTTTTAAATTTTTAAATTATTACATTTGGCCCGGCCATAGGTTTTTAAATCCTTGCGTGTTACTATTTATTGGTTATTGTTTATATGTGATTTATATTAATTGTATTGTATTTATTGTTTTTGTTTATTGCTTTTGTTTTTATTGATTTGTTGTTGGGCTTGGCCTCATGTAAGTTGCTCCGAGTCCTTTGGGGAGATGGTGGCAGGTATAAATAAAGTATTATTATTATTATTATTATTATTATTATTATTATTATTATTTAGTCATGTTGTGAACATACATGTGCATAAATGCACAGATGCACACACAGTTATGTTTGTGTAAACTACTCAAGCACCATTTTCCTTCTTTCACACAGAGGAGTGAGGTGTCCAAAAATTAAGACTGTTTATTGTTTGAGAAATAATATCCAGATGCAAATTTAGATGACTTTTAGTTTGAACGCAAAAGTTAAATGTGCAAATATTTAGGGCTGACTATATTTCAAGCAGCTAGTAGTGAAGGCAGACTTGTCACTCAGTGGAAAAAAACCTGGATTTTTATTTTAAAAAGTTTACAAATGGATCAGCATATGAATCTCTGGAGGAGGTTGTGTCTATCAGCTTGAAAAATGATCTAATTGTGTGGAAGGAAAAAAAGTTGGATCCCTAGTTCATAATTACTGTAGTCCTTCAATTCTAAGACACACTTCTTTCCCTATATAAACATCTCAAGAATATCTTAGAATTGCAGGTGTATCTTCTTCATTTTTGTTGGTGGTGTTCATACTGAAATTAGGGTGCATCTTACAATCAGTGGCATGTTACAATTTAAATATGTTTTTTTTAAAAAAAATTCATCAGTTTAAGAAGTGTAAGGGGTCATAATTTGGTCTTTACAGGGATTAAAATGTGCTTTAAAATTAATAATTGCATATGATACTGTGGATTAGAACCAGCTATCACGCTCCAGGCCTCAGACTAGTTCCTGAATTTCCTCTGTAATCGTCCACATAGCGAAAGCATAGTAGCCAGAGCGTAGATGAAAACTCACATGTACGGCCCTGTATGTGATTTTCAGAAGACCAAAAAAAATGGCCTCTATACCTTGATCCTTTGGTAGGAAGATTTGCCCCCAAACAAGTGTAGGGTGTAGTATTTGTTTCATCTGTAGATGGAGATACCACATGTAACAATTCGTGAAGATGCCACTAATTTGTGATGAGGTCACCAATTTGTAAACGTTTGTAAAGGAGCCACCACTTTGTAAGGGTTTATTAATTTGATAGCGTAGCTAATAGCTAGTGATATTGACTTGGTCTTTCTTTAATGTGTAGCGTGACTTAACTTGGAAAGGAATTGTAACAGAGACAGGGTGCAAAATAATTAGCGACTGACCATAGGTTAAATATATCAATGACCGATGTTATTGGTAGGTATGGCTGCCACCACCTCAGCTTTATTGGACTGAGGAACAAAAGGTGTGAATGTGTTGTAGGTAAGGTGTGTTTGCCCTTGGTTCTTCTGTAACTCCTTTACTGGATGACTGGGTTTTAAAAGAGTTTGACAGACTGAGGCAGACACCAGTTAAAAGTGAACTAGGAAAGGTTTATTGAACTTTAAACAAATATCAACTCATAGAATGAGCGGTACAGAAGCGTAATTCAGTTGTAGAGACTTAGTTATTTATACAAGTAGTTCCACTGACAATAAAGCTTTTAAAACTGTGAGTTTCCTTAATCACACTGCTCTACTCTTAGAAACAGTATCACTTGGAGAACAGACTACTATCTGTCTCACCCACAGGGCAATAAGCTCTCTTATACTTTCCCAGTAAAAGTCTTTCTTTTACTGGTCCTCTCAACACAGTAAAACCCTAGCCCTTGTCTCAACCTTATTCCTTATTCTTAAGGCTCACTTAAAAGCTCTTCTTTCCCTGTCAGATTCCTACTCTAGCTTCCTATCTTAAAATCCCATCCTTCTGTGTCTGATGTCAAGACACTTCTCTCCCTGTCAGCCTCTTTCCCTCTCTCAACCGACTCCTCCCCTAATTGCTCCAACCAATCAGGAGTCGGCTTGACTCCTCCTCCTGCTTCTGCCTGTCTTCCAAGATGACAGCTACTGCCTCTCAGGCTTCGGCCTGGTCGCCTTAAAGGTAGATTTCACTACACAGGGCTTTAGGAAAAACAGTAACAAGTTTATTGAAATGTAGAAGGAGCGTGATGGCTTCATTGTTTCTTACTCTTAGAGGCACATATCTTCAGAGGTTACATTTATAACATTCCTTAAACAACTCTGGAAAGGACTCTTCCTTCCGCTAAACAGGTTTCAAACTTATTTTTCTTCAAACTGTGTTTCTTTCCTTAATAGAGTACTTCAGTTACAAGCTTATTCTTTCTTTGTGATGTTTCTGTTGCAATAGAGATTCTCACAGGGTTTCTCTCACCCTTTCTCTCATACACTAACTATTAATATAAATAAGTCAACTTGACTTATTTAAACTACTCAGGCTAAAAGCCAAAACCTTCCTGATTCTCACTACTATAGAATCAGCCTTTCCCTGTAGTTTTTAACTACAGATTACCTTCCTGGTTCTCACTACTACAGAACCAGCCACTCTTACAGTTCACAGACTGTAGACTAACTTACTGGTTCTCAACACACACTAGAACCAGCCTCTCCTGTAGTTTTCTGACTACAGACTAACTGTTTTAAAATGGCTACCCTGCCAAGTGGCAGTTGGCTCCGCTCCTGTTTCCATGGTAACCCAGATCAACATGAGCTGAGCTGGCTACCATCCCCTCTAGTTATGCAACTTTAAATACTTACCCTTTAAAGCATCTATCTATAATTATACATAACTGCAACTTAAAAATTTACACTTCACCACACATCTCTCTGCTGCCCAGGCTCCTTCTACACTGCCATATAAAATCCAGATTAACTGCTTTGAACCAAAATTATATGGCAGTGAAGACCCATATAATGTGGATTATCTGCTTTGATAATCTGGATTATATGGCAGTGTAGAAGGGGCCCTAGTCTAAATAATAATAATAATAATACTTTATTTATACCCCACCAAGGGGACTCGGGGCAGCTTACATGAGGCCAAGCCCAACAAATACATATACATCAGTACAACAACAAAGCAAGCAAACAATAAAACAATACAAACAATATAACTAACATATAAGCAGTAGCATACAAGACATTTTTAGTCTTGCCCTTTACCAAATTCCCAGGGGACTGATTTTTAGGAGAGCAGACAATATTTATATTTATATTTTAAATGTACTAAACATACCAAGTTCGTATGAAATTGTGACTTTTATTTCCTGTGCTGGTCTATGACCAAAATTAATGATTTGATTAGACAGACTCAACCAATAGGCTCTATATTCAGGACTGCAAAAATATTATGATTTTTTTTTAATTGCTGAGCCCCCTATTCCTCCAACCTAGGGGCTGGTGAAAGATACCATTTGAATATTTTCTGTCTTTTTTGTTTCTTTAGCTCCATCAGGATAAAAGATTGAGTTTTTTAAATCTTTCATTTCATTTTCAATTACTGCGGTTAGATCTAAAAACTGGGAAGTTTCTCATCAATAAAAGGGAGGTCATATTTTAGGGTAGGAGCCCCTACCTCCTCCTGAATGAGAATTTTATGCATTGCTATCAGCCTCCCTACATAGGACCTTAATAAGCACAGCTTCCAGGCCTTCCAGATGATATTATTTTATGCTCCTCGTGTTTTGTTTTGCTCTGGAAAAACTTACGCTGCAATAACTTTCTGAGCAGTTAATGTGCACTCAGCTTGTTACGACAATCTTCACTTAACAAATTGAAAATTTCAGGTATATATTTATAGCTATTTCCCCGAACATTTAACCATTCCACATAAGGTGCAATGACTGCTGGATCAGGTGATTTGTGTGGCACTTGGTTATCATAAAGGGTTTGAGTTTGACCCAGGGCTATACTGTATTTGGCATTTAGATTTATGTAATGATAATCTTTGTTTATTCTTCGAATGGGCACTGCAAACCTCAAATTTAGATTTTCTGCAAGGGGTGCTTTTTGTCCTGTATATATTCTAAAAATCTGTACAAGTACGAAAAAGAATTAAACTGTCTTGAGATGATCAGATTTCACTATAAAATATCACATTTTTTGCTGCTGTTCGAAATGATCATAAAGATAAAAGGCTCTGTGAAATAGGAATGGCTTCGGTCTGCAGAAATGAAGACTTGCTAACTTCTTTCTTGCTAGGTGTGAGTGCGAAAATGTTGTTGAAAAAAAAGTGCAGAATGCAGGTTTCCTGTACAAAAATGTTGATTTCTTTCATATAAACAATATATGACACTGGGTATGAATAACAAAAGTTCATATAGAGAAGATATAATAAACTTATAAGTAAACTTTGCAACTGTTTTAACATTTGTTGCTTGTTTGGAAAGCTGTTTTTGCTTCCTACACAATGGGATGTAAAAGACAACTTGTCAGACCTAATGCACACACCTCAGTGTGAATTCTCACAGTGTGAATAAACTGTGAAGTGTATTGGAAGTTTTTTGAAAAATAAAAATTGGCACTCACCAACTTGGTGCTTGTGACGGTTGTTAATCCTCTCCACCTGCTGATTGTTGTGCATTTATCTAAATTTAAAACCACATTGCACTTGAAATACATCCATTTATCTCAGATATCCAAATTGTTTTGTGTTTTTTTTGTATATCTTCCTGCTGTGTTCCAGTTTCATGTTCCAAGTTAATTTATTTCTGTTATATGCAAGGCCTAAACAAGCATAAGATTGGCTTCCAAATTATAATGAAGAGAACCCTTATCATGCCTATTAGTCTT